CCCAGGCCTTTTTAAAGTTTTAAACTTTTATACAGAGTCTTACCTACTTGCTACGTTGCCCAGGCTGGGCTGGAACTTGTAGTCCTCATGCCCCAGCCTCCCAGAGTGCCACCTGGCTCAGCACCCTCCTTTTGCAGAGATGGAAACCAGGGCCCCGAGCCGTAGAACGCTGCCTGCGGGCGTTTCAGAGCCCTGGGCCTGGCTTTTCTGCTCTCAGGCCCTCAGGGAGACCCGTGGTAGCAGAACCTGAGCCCCCAGGGTGTGGGGGAGTAGTGTTCAGTAACTGGTATGTGGGCAGAGTGCGGGGCATCAGCTCCGCCCTCCTGGGACGGTGAGGACGCCCCGCTCGCTCGGTAAAAGCGGCCTTCCCGACTCCCGCCCTCTGCTGCCAGGCTCCTTGCTTCCAGAACGTGCCCTGCACCCTGTTCCGCGCCTTGGTCCCAGTTGCCCCATGCCCAGCCATTGGAGTGGAGGAACCAGCACCTCCGCCCCGGCCTCCGGCACCCAGCTGTCTTCTTTCCGCCTCACAGCCAGCGTCAGTACCTGGGGTGTTGGGATGGACAGAGGGGAGGGCTGCTTCCTGGACCCCCTCTTCCCGCTCCCAAACTTCTTTGGTGATGGACCCGCAGATCCCCGCAGATCCCTGCAGGCAGCCATCTCGGGCACTCCCCGTGTGAGGGGCACTCTCCTCCAGGCCGGAGCCCCAGGCGCTGCTGTCACTGTCCCCGCCCCAGGTGTGGATGAAGAGGCAGGTTGAGCCCTGGGGAGGGACAGCTGCCTGAGAGGCACAGGCTCAACTTCCTGATTTGTGGGTGGCCAGACCCCCTCCCAGCATGCTTTGGGGCTGGAGCTGGCATTTAAACCAGGCAGCTGGGAGCCATTTAAAACTGAAGGGGCTGATTTAAAACCAAGGATAGGAAAGTATGTTCTGTTTAATTTTATTTCTTAAAATTCTGTCTTTTGTATTGGTACATATTGTAGTGCATGCTGTTTACATTCCTCTGGGGGGACGTACACGTTTGGAAGCCAGCCTGAGCGGAGCCGGATCGAGCCCTCACCACGCCCCTCCCTCCCTCCACCAGCGTTTGCTTCGATCTTTCAGGCAGGGACACACACAGAGGACAGTCACTGCCAGCGTGCGTCCTGGGCTTGGTACGCGCGTGCTTCCAAGCTGTTTTGATGGTGGCCGAAGCCGCTTGGGCAAGACTCGCTGGAGTCTTGTTGTAGCACCGGAGGGAAGGCCTCTTCCGGAGGCCATGGGAGGGCGCGATCCTCCGCAGTGTGGGGAGGGTTTCCGGAGCCCTGGAGCCCGGACCTCGAGCTCAGAACTCTGCCCATCACCTGGACAGCCCGAGACTGCTGACGGCACGGGAGAAGCGTGGGCAGCCCTGAGGCAGGGTCAGAGTTAGGGATCCCGGTGCCCAGGACCTGGACCTGGCCCCAAGACCCCTGCCACGCCATCACTGGCTGTGCGCCCCGGGATGGGCTCGGGGGAGAGGCAAACAGCAGGTTCACAGGCGCTGTGCTTTCAGCACCATCCCTGTGGTTTTGGCTGTGGGGATGTGACCCCAGCACCTGCCCAGGTCCTCACCCACCTTTGGGCAGTTTACTGGGCGAAGGTGCTCGCTTGGGTCATTTCCCAGACAGCGCTGAGCAGTGCATTCGAGAGCGTGCCTGGCCGCTCCATACACTACGTGTCCCAGTGACGGCGTTCTGGATACATGTATTCGCGTGAAATGTTACTCGACGTTTTTACCTTGTCACTGAGGCTGCAGGGACATTTCCGATTCCCTGTGTGCTGTCAGTGCACAAGACCGTCATGCGCCTTCCAAGTCAGGACTTGTGCCAGGGCTCGCCGTCTGGCCCGGGCCCTGTGGCTGTTGGGTGGCGCATGGAGGTGCGGGGACAGTGCCGTGGGAGATGAGGTGTGGGCGGCCGGGAGGCGGCCGTGCTGGCGCGGATCTGGTGTTCGCAGTGTCGGCAGCAGCTCCCGGCGGAGTCTGCCCAGGGCCAGCCTCGGGGTTCGTTTTCGTGGCCAGCCCAAAACACAAGGTGCCGTCCTCTGCCCCTGCTGTCTGCTGAGCGGGAAGGAACGGTCCGCGGCCCAGGGTGCCGGCTGGTGACCCTGTTATGGCGGTGACTCAGTTTCTCCAAATGCTCCCAGAGACCACGTGGCTGCCTCCCGTGTCCCTCTTGGTACAGTCTGGAGCCTTTCTCGCTCACCTTCTGTTCTAGCCCTGTGCCTGGTGTGTGGAGCTGCCTTGGTTTTGTAGTTCTGCGCAGCTTTGCGGGGGTGACTGTCCATCCATGGTACTGTTCTGCCCTGCCGTGCTGGACACTCTGCCCTGCGTTGCTCCTGAGGTCAGTTATTACTGGGTTTCCCACACACAGTTTTAGGTTAAGCTGTGTACAGTTCCTGTCTCTTTCCCTGTAGGCTTCTTAGACCTTATCACGTTTATTTCTCTATTTATTTATTTATTTTGCAGTACCAGGGATTGAACCCAGGGCCTTCACACTGAGCTACATCCCAGACCTTTTTATTTTTTATTTTGAGTGAGAGTCTCTTTAAGTTGTTAATGTTGTCCAGGTTAGGCTTGAATTTGCAATCATCCTGCCTCAGCCTCCCAAAGAGCTAGGTTACAGGCCTGGACCACCAGCCTGGTTCTAAATTTCTTTCTTGATAATCTAGCTCTCCTAATAGCTGATTGACAAAGACATCAAGGGTGCTGCGTTCTTCACCTTGCCATATATAGCTATCGCGGCGCGGAACTTTGGACTTCCTTCTAGAGAGGCTGGGCTGCCGGCTTCCTGCCTGGCAGCGAGCCCCACCCCCTGCGGGGGTTGAGAAAGACGCACGCGGTGCTCAGTTCCGCTTTCTGACTCTGAGCCTCGGGTCGCGCACACGGGCTGCACAGCTCTGCAAAGGGCAGAGGACCTTGGGTCTGGGCAGGCCCCAGCTCAGCCCATGGGCTTTATCTTAACTAAATACGAAGCTGATGCCGGGAGAGAGGCTTCCAGGAGGAACCGTGCGGAGCTGTGCCTGGTACCTACCTGTTCTGTGTGAATGTTACCACCCTCCAGTCCCTCTCTGCTGATGGTTTATGTGGCAAAACTTGACCTTGAAGGCGCTCCTGGTGGCCTGGAGACACTTGTCTTCTTTTCAAAATTGCGATGAAATTTGCTTCCCATAAAATTATTCATTTATTTATTTAAAATTTTTTGAGACAGAGTCCTGCTGTGTAGCCCAGGCGGACCTTGAGCTCACAGAGACCCTCCTGCCTCGGCCTCCAGAGTGCTGGGATTATACCTAGGTTTTAGGTGGAGGAATTTTCTGATTCACTAGCTATTTTAAAGGGCCCTGTTCATGGCATTTAGGACGGTCGCAGTGTTATACAACCACCACCCCTCTAGTTCTGAGACGCTGTCGTCTCCCCAGAAGGAGGAGACTCTAGGGAGGCGGCTTTGCTCTTGCCTGACTCGTCGTGTGCCGCTGGGCAAAGGCTGGGGTTTGGCTTCTTCTCACCCTCGCGGTGGAGATAAGTGATCGTCCTCAGTGCTGGGAGATCAGACTCAGTACCTGAGAACCAGCTCTCCCTTTTGTACCACTCGGCGATCTTGTTGCAGGAATGCACAGCCTGAGTGGCCATGCAGTTGCAGGACACTGCGGTCGCTTCCTGTTCCTGTCCCCGGCCCCCCAGAACCTCGTCTGCCCGCTGTGGTGGACAGTCGCCCTGTTTGGGCATCGCGTGTGACGGGGCCGAGCGGGGTTGGCCTGTCTCGCCAGACTCCCTCCGAGCGTCAGGTGTGCCGGGCCGGCCGTGTTTGGGTATCCGCTTGGCCGCTGGCAGAGCGCTTGTGAGATCGGTGCTGTCATCCTCTAGGGTGGGCCTTAGGGATGCGAGCGCAGGTCACATGAAAGCACACTTGTGCTTCGGAGGGGTCTCTGCTATGTGCGTGATTTCCTTGCGCACCCTTTGTGGGGCTTAACTTTCTGACCTTTAGACTCCTTTGTATTTTTGGCAGCTGAAGTTTCCCTTGTTTATCAAAGTCTCAAGGTCCACACATAGAGCCCGGTTGAGCCGAGGAGACAGACCGCCTGCCTGCCTATTCCTGCCTGTTCGGGTGTGCAGCCCTGGGTTCCCCGGGAGACCTGCAAACCCACCAGGCACTGCGGCACAGCCTATCCTGCTTGCTGCTGCTTTTTTTTTTTCTTCTTCTTCTTTTTTGGCTTTTTTGAGACAGGGTCTCGCTACGCAGTTCAGGCTGGCCCTGAGCTCACTTTGTAGCCCAGGCTGGTCTTGAACTCGCAGTGATCCTCCTGCCTCAGCCTCCTGAGTGCTAGGATTACTGGTACGCGCCACCACGCCTGGTTCCACTGTGTTTGTTGAATGGATGCAAGCCAGGTCCCCATGCTGGAGAAACTGAACAGAATGGGGGAGCCTAGCACCCTGCCAGGCTGAGCCTTGGACCGGGCCAGAAGCCCCTGTGTCCTTGTGACTGGTAGTTGCCAAAGCCGCCCGAGGGATCCAACCACCCTGGGGTGTGGGGACTTGGAAATCGGCCGCAGGGACAGTCACACCACAGGGGGCAGCACTCCAAACCAGGGCACCTGCCAACTCTCTTTTCTCTCTTCCTCCCTCCCTCCCTCTTCCCTTCCCCGCCTCCTTTCTTGCGTTTTCCTCCCTCCCTGCCGTCTCTTACTTCCCTCCAGAGAGCCTGGCGTCACCTGACCCGACCCCTCCTGCCTTTCTAACCTCCGCTGCTCTGACGAGCGAGGCTTTCCCAGAGCAGGAGGTGAGCTGAGACTTAGGGACTTGCCTGAGGTCACCCGGCCAGCAGTGACAGCTGGAGTCGGGCCCCCGCCGGGCCCTGGCATGGACCACACGGTGCCGCCACCACAGCTTTTGTTCTCCGTGGACGTCTCGGGCGCCAAGTGGCCTGAGCGACGTGCGGCTCTCCTCCTCGCTCCTGAGCCGCTCTGTGTTTTCCTTTTCCTGCAGAATTTCGCTAAAGAGTTCGTGATCAGCGATCGGAAGGAGCTGGAGGAAGATTTCATCAAGAGCGAGCTGAAGAAGGCGGGGGGCGCCAACTACGACGCCCAGACGGAGTGAAGCTGCTGCCCTGCGGTCACTGGCAGGGAGTGGCGCTGGCCTCCCCACCCACAGCCCGCCAACCCGCCAGGGAGGGGCAGGCGGTGGGAGGCCACGCCTGCCTTGGTCTGCAGCCCAGAGCCCCTTCTGTGCCCCCTGCTGACCCCGCTGTGCCCTGCCTCACGATGCTCATGGAACATCTTTCTTCGATTTTCTTTTTCCCCCTCCCTCTTTTCTTTTCCTAGAGAAAAATCATTTTGATGCCGAGGTCATGCACGTCGCCAGCCCCAGGTGCCTGCCAGGGTGGCCCCGGTCCCTGGTGTCTCTCCTGCGCTCCTCATCGTCCGCCTGGTCCGAGCACTGAGGACGCGAGTTGCTTCTGGGCCCTACCCTGTGCCATCTTGGTTTCCTCGGGCCTCTTGCTTCCTACTAGGCTGCTGCTGCCCCGGAGGCTGCTGCAGCCTTCCTGAGCACACACATCGACCCATCAGCGGGCACAGACCTCCTGGAAATGCTCCCGGGCCCTCATCCCACCCTTGCTCAAAGTTGCATGGAGACAGTGTTGCTCGGTGGTGAGAGTCTAGGTCTGGCTCTGACCAAGTAAGAAATGATAACATTTGCCTTAAAACATGCCTGGCAGTAGCTTTGCCATGGGGTCTGGAACCCCGCCCCCACCCTTGGGGCTGAAATCTCCCTGGAGTGAGGAGACGGCCGAGGCTAGGGTGACAGAGGGGCATTTCCAGGCTGACCTCAGGGGCTCCCAGAGGGACAGGACGGAAGTGGGCGCTGCTAGGGAGTGGGGCTCCGGCCTCCCTCCTGCCCACTCCAAGACTGGCTTTGCTGCGTTCGAAGGAAGGTGTAGATTGGCTTGGTTCCTCGTGAGCACACTTTCTAGGGTTCTTTTTCCTTTATTCCTTGCTCCTTTCATTTTGGAAGAAAACTGTACTGTATGGGATGTGAAGACCAGCTCTGGCACCAAACAGTTTACAGAAATAAATGTGTTTTGTTTTTAAAAAAAATAGTTCGTCTTCCCATCTCTCTTGCAGTTTCTTTACTGCGAGAACAAAGCCCGTCTTCCTGTTCAGATGTCATGCGCCGTGGCTGCCGGGGCTCCGTACAGGCTGGGCGCAGTTGGGAGCTTATTCTTAACAAATGTAAGAAGTAGGCGCCATTTTTGTCCCCATTTGTGGAAACTGAGGCTCAGGTGAATTCCCCTGAGGTCACAAGGGAGAAAGCAGCAGAGCTGGGGTTTGAACTCGGGGCTCCTGAGAGGGAGCTGCAGCCCGGTGGGGGGCAGGGCGCTGGGCAGGAGACAGTGGTGTGACTGCAGGTTGCCGGGCTCCAGGGTGGCCAGTGTGCGCCGGCCTGGCTGTGACATCCTTCCCGGGGTTGTCCTGGAGCTGGGGAGCTCCATTTGCTGCACACGGTCCCATGGGAACCCAGAACTAGGCCGGAGCAGTTTCGGGATGTAGCTGGGCTTGGGGGTGTTGGGTGTGGTGCAGGCAGGGTTTAGGGAGAGGGCAGAGCCAAGGGCACCCCCATGCTGGCCAGCCCCTGGTGCACTGGGATTCTGACGTCTATTCAGCTGCTCACAGCTGTGTGACTAGGTGAATTAGGTTCCTCCCTGAGCCTCGTTTTTCTCATTTACAAAATGGGCAGCAGTGTTACCTATTGCCCAGGAGGAGCGCCGGGAATGAGGGGCTCCTGTGAGGCTGCCCCTCGGCCTGTGACACCCCCCGGCTGTGAGCTAGGGTCACTGAGCACTGTGGAAGGACAGTGGCCTCCACCCCAGATCAAGGAAGTCCAGTCCCAGACAGATGAAGAACATCTTTCCCCTTCTCTGTCCAAAGCATCACAGACAGGTGGGGCCTGAAGGGAGGGCCCTCTGGTGGGCAGACTGGAAGGGGAACGCAGATAGAGCTTTCTGGAACCCCTGCTGGGAGCTGGACACTGGCCCAGGGTGGGCATCCAGTGACAAATGACTTCACTGTCTGCACACAACTGCAGAGAGGTCCCCCTGCTGTGGAATGTCACAAGGGCCCTGCACCCAGCCAGGCTGTCCCAAGGGCTTCCCTGGGGAGGCGGAGCCCTGGGTTGGAGGGTCCTTGTAATGCTGTTGGGGTGTAATGCTCCCCACTCCTGCCCCCTGATAGGCCCACTAGGGTCTGCTTCGGTCTGCCTGGCATGCTCTGATCTCATTGGCTCGCTGGTTCCTGGGACCCTGGCTGCAGGCAGATTCCAGGTGAAGGCACCCCTGCCCCCGGTGAAGCAGAATCTTCTGCCCTTGGTTTGGGGCGGCACCCGAAAGAGTAGGCGGGGCAGTTCTCCAAAGGGGGGTTTTCTCTGGGTTTGGCTGTGGACAGACTGTGGGGCCTGGATGCCTGGGCTGGCCCGTTGGGGCTGACAGCTGCTTGCAGTTGGTGTCTGGAAGCTCACTGGGGCTTTGGGGCTCACCTGACTGCCCCTGGTGTGGGGTCTCTGGTTGTGGTACTGGCCTTCCCCAGGGTCAGCCTGGCAACAGGACCAGGAGAAGCAGCTGCTCCCCTGGCCTGGCCTCACGACTTGTGTGCTCTCTGGGAGGTTGGTGTGGCGGGGTGAGTATCGGGCACCTTGGATCTGGCCAGAACCTACCTCTCTGTGACCTTTGGGAGGTCCTCACACCTCTCTGTCACCAGGCTGTGCAGCTGCACTGCCCTCCTGCAGCTCGGGGCCCTGTGGGCTTTGAGCCCAGCTCATGGTCACGGTGAGCGTCGACCTGTCTGGGTTGCCTCTGTTTCCCCTCTGCCCTGCTGTCAGATCATACTCTGCGGCATTGCATGATGGTGGCCAGGACAGTCCCATGCCCTGTTCCCCAGTGAGTTGCAGAGCAGAGATAAGAACAAGAACCCAAAGTTCAGCTGCTCATCCAGCAACAGGGGTCAGGGTGGCTCAGAGCTCAGGTCTGAGCCGCTGCTTCTAGAAGGTTCCCCATGCCCCATGAAGTGGGCTGAAGGGCGGCTCCCGGAGGCCATGCCCGTGGCCAGGACTTGGGCCTGGGGCCTTAACTGGGAAAAGGATCGTTGATTAAGTTTCCTGTGATGGGTGAGAGGGAGATTTGAGACAGAGCCGAGAGACAGGAGAAACGAGGAAAAGATAGTAGAGATGGAGTAAGGTGGCCACGAGCAACGCCTGGGGCCACTGGAGCTTCAAGAGGCAGGAAAGCGCCTCCAGAGCCTCAGGAGCCCAGAACCCACAGCAGGGCCGGGCCCCGCCCACACCTGTGGCCCAGACTCTGCCCTGGGGCAGGGAGAGAATACATTTCTTCCACTCTCTAGGCAGTTTGTGGTGGTTTACTGTGACGGCAGCTGCAAGGATGAACAAGGATGAACACCTCCCTTCTCCTCCCTGGCCTCTTCCTTCTTCTCCCACTCATGATCCTCTCCAGGGTGGGTGGTGCATCCGCAGGGCTGGGCCGGGCTGTGAATCGCACACAGAGATTTGGTGTCCAGATGCTGGAACGTAGGAGCGTGAGGGAGAGAAGGAAGAGGGAAGTGGGTCCCCAGGACTCAGCAAAGATCTGATGTGAGAATTGAAGCCCATGGGGACAGCGAAGAGAGACTTCAGGGCAGAAGAGAGCAGCACTTTCTGCCTGAGCATGGACTCGCTGTATGGGAGGGGCATCTGCAACCTGCAGACACAGGGTGACTGCTGGTGACCCCAGAGGCCTCCAGAGAGACTCACCAAGGGACGGAGCAGTGGACACCGCGGACTGCAGTGGCTGGGGAATTATTCAGGTTCAGTTGCCCCTCAGGTGAGGGTGATTGGCGAGTGGCCGTCTTACAGAGGGGCCGACCCAGCTCAGCGCTCAGAGCAGTGTGGACTGCTCCACCTAGCGACTTCAGTGTCAGGGTGAGGAGAAACTGAGTTTAAATTGGCAGGAGGTCGAGGAGCTGAGCTCAAGCCTGCAGGAGGCACACGGAGTGTTGCAGGCTGAACAAACTAGGTTCCAGCCTCAAGGCCAGAAATTGGCCTGAACTTCAGTGAAACTAAAGCTGCAGCCTTGCTGGGATCATCCACTACCCTGCTGTGAAGCTGTAGCTGCCTTGCTGGGATTATTCCCCACAGATCTGCGCTCAGTATGCCCATTCTGTCTACTGGTGATAACAGAGACACACCTGGAAGGGGATATTTTTTCCTTTTCTTGTTTTGTTTTTTTCTTTGTTTGTTTTTGTTTTTGGCACCGGGGATTGAATTCAGGACCTGGCACTTGCCAGGCAGGTGCTTGTGCCACTAAGCTATCTCCCTGGCCCTGTTTTGTTTGCTCTTGTTTCTGTTTAGGTGTGAACAGTATTTCTAGTTTTTTTTGTTGTTGTTGTTATTGTGTTCTGTCCTTGTTTTTGTTCCTTCCTTCTCTGGTTCCCTCCTGTCTCCTTCACCAGTTTCCCAAAGTTGGCAGGATCCTTCTTTGTCCTCCAGCCTTGCTTCTAATCTCTTCCTGTTCCTCTGTTTCTCCATTTTCCCCCCAACCCTTTTAACATTTTCTCCTCTAGGGTAAAATCATCATACTGAGGGACATTTACTGTATACAATTTTCTGGTTCATTTTAGATTTTGTTATATAACTATAAATCATGTTCATATAGTTAAAGTTGACCGATTAGTAGTTACCACAGTTTGTCATTTTCTAGGCTGTGTTTGATGCTATTGTTATTGCTGATTGTACTACTTTAGCCAAGGTGACATAATTGTTCTTTGCATGCCAAGACTGAGATTTCCTAAAAGTCATAAACAACGCTATAGGCCAGTGCCAAAGAACCAGGAGCTGGGCCAAATAGGCAGCAACTTCTCATCCCCAATAAATTGAAGAGGTAGAATACTGCAACAGACTCAGAACTCAAAAACCAGCTACACCTGGAAGACATCTCTGAGCAGTCATTTCTAAAGGGTTATAAATGCTAGCAATAAAGCTACTTGCTATAAATTATTCACAAGTATCAACCCAGGAATTAAATTACAAAAGAAAAAAGAGAAAAAATCATGGAAGCAAGGTGAAACCTTAGACTTCCAGCTCACCAAAGAGAAACCCAGGGGGCAGTGAGGTGGGCCAGTTCAAAAGCCACCCACCTGGACTCTGAAGTGGTAGCAGTGGAAACAGCAAAGCAGATGAATGAGCAGAAAAAAAATAAGATCAGAAATAATCTCTCGGATACAGAGGTGGTGAGCATAATGAAAGACACGCTTAGTGACCGTAGAGCAGATACAGATTAAAAAATAGAGGAGCTTAGGAAAATGAGGGAAATTGTGAATGCTCAACATAGGAAAGAGATAGAATCCGTGAAACAGATTTAAATGGATATCCAGGAGATTAAAAATTCCACTGAAAGTATATGCAGCAGAATGATCCAATGTGAGGACAGAATATCAGATATAGAAGACAGGATCGTGGCTAGTGATCACAAAAAAAATTATTTCTTAAAAATAGTAAGGGACCATGAAAAATCTATCCAACAGCTGCTAGAGGATGCAAAAAAAAAATAGCATAAAATTGATTAGAGTCAATGAAAAGGCAGGAGATAGTGCAAATGACATTTTAAAAAATCCTGTTACAGAAGTAATGTTAGAAAACTTCCCAAGCATGGAAAAAAGTGTGACATACACAGAAGTGAGGCATATAGAACTCCAATTAGCCATTATTAAAAAAAAAATAAACCAAGGCATATAATAATACTCTAGTTTCTCTTCAGATCATATAAATCTTTTGCCTTTTACCAAGGCATATAATAGTCAAGATTCCAGAAATTCAACAATAGAACAGAATACTAAAAGCTGTCAGAGAAAAGAAACAAATCACCTATAAGGGAAAGTCCATCAGAATCAGGGCAGACTTCTCAACACAAACCTGCAGGTCAAGGACAGCTTGGAGTGAAGTATTTCAAGCTCGAAAGGAAGACAACCCCCAACTTATGATATATCGTACAAAACTATCTTTCAAAATTGATGGAGAAATAAGATACTTCCATGACAAAGAACACCTGAAGAAATT